AACTCTGGAAGGTTTTACAGTCTCCTGCGGGGATCTTCCACATCCACACGTTGCCATCATTCGTTCCCGCTAGCAGCACTGGAGCACAGGGATGCCACTCCAACCACTGAGATAGAAAGAAACAGTTATTATACACACACACAGACACACACACACGCACACACACACTCTTACCTCCAGATCTCCCACTTCAAAGGACCAGATCTCCTCTTTAGTTTCTACTTTCCAGACTTTAATCAAGCCGCTCATGTCTCCGGATGCCACCAGGGAGGAGTCATGGCTGAACATGGCACACGTCACTGAGTCCTTGTGACCTGTGTAGGCACAGAGGGCAAAGAGCAGGATGATGTTTTTCCTGTTTTGCTTGAGGTCGACAGAAAAGATACTTGGCATCACAGTGTGTCCACATCTTTATGTAAACAATCTGAAAATGCTTGCGTGGACAAATTTCACACATGGTTGATGTCACAGCGCTCACGCTACGCAAATAAATGCACTAGTGCGTTTCTACTTTAGAAGAGCACACAAAGCCACACTGAGCCATTCACACACACATACAGAGCTTCATTTTGTGCCTTGGAGGATTCTCTTTCACTCACACTCTGATGGATGCACCAGCAGCAGCTTTGGGTTCAGTATCTTGACCAAGGAAGCTTGGACCAGAACCTGTTCACCCTTCTGAGCCACAGAGAAATAGATGCCCATTTCCCAGAGTAAATGGAAATGCTAATTACCCCGTTTTTTGTCATTTTCTTTTGTTTTTGCTTTATTTGTGAATACCAGGATTGTGTTTAAATCTGGAAAAGCAGGAAGAGTTTTTGTAAAGACATCCATGTTTGCTCCTCACCTGCGTCCACAAATGAAGCCCAATCACACTGTAACTAAACATAGTGATTTTAACCATGCTGCGCTGGTGCTTATGTTTAAATTGCCATGGTAAAAACTTTATGTGATCACCCCCAATCTACCCCCTGCCTAAACAACCGCCTTTGTCTTTAGTGCCAGCTCACTACAGTGATTTCCCTAAATCATCCAACCCTCTGAGCTCTACACTCACCTGTGCACTCCAGCAGAACTTCCCCATCGCTCACCCTCCAAACATAGGCCTTATCATCCTCCCCTCCGCTCACAGCCAAGTTGTTGGTCGCTGGGTCCAAACTCACACAGAACACCGAGCCTGGGCAGAAAAAAAGGGTCAGACCTTTTTAAACCGTAAGCAGCCAGGAGCAATCAGAGAGCAGCAGCAGAGACACCAGGGAGGTTTTCACCGGTGTGTTTGGAGAAGGTGAGATCGCTGTCGTCCTGCTCTGCCTCAGCCTCCATCTCGTCCTCAGTCTCCCAGCCGTCATTGTCATCACCTGCGTTTCCAGCGTCATCGAAGTCGACGTCCTCCAAGTCATCAGCCAAATCATCTACGAGAGAAAAAGCACAGCACACGACGGTCACCTGATCTATCTC